TGTATGTGTTTTGCATTCATATTTGTTAGCCATAAGAATATCTGTTCAGAATTCTACTTTGTTCTGTTAGTTGAAGGCTTTATCGGCATCCGAACATGAAATTGATTACATCAATGTGTTCATTTGGATTTTTAGAATTTTATGGTAAGTTTAATTGGATTGATTTGGAACCAAATAATTAGAATAAATTAATTAAGTTGAAGTCAATTAGTTCTAATCATAATTAATTAGCTTAAGCTAATTGGACCTATATAAGGCCAATATAACTTCTGGAACACAATCTCATCACCATTTTGAGCTAAAAAACATGTAGAAGAAGGGAGAGGAGGGAGATAGTTCAATTCAAGGGGGGAAAGAGGAGATTGAAGGGAAATATTAAGGAATTGGCTTGGAAACTCAAGGAATTTGCTACATAGAGTTCAATTGAGGAGTTTAGGTAAGAATTTAACTCATAACTATATATTTAAGACACCAAATGTGGGATTTCAAGTGAAGTAAGAGACTAGCATGAGAAATAAGTTAAGAATGTAGAATTTGAGATTATCATAAGCTTGCATGCATAATTCATGAAGTTTAAGCTTGAATTCCACCTCATATCTCACATGCATGGAGTTATTTTTGTTAAATTTTGAGAACTCAACATGATTTTGTACAAAACATCTCATTTGTTCATGATTCAAAGAGTTTGAACTCAAAACAATGCATGCATGTGTTATACATTGAGTTTAAGGTTTGGTTTTAAAGAATTGTCTAGCTTTTAGGCTTTGATTTTGTGAATTGGTTTTCATTTCATGTTTTATTACAAGGTTTCAAGTATTTCCTTAAGTTTTTGGCCCAAATGAACAAGATTGAAGCTTTGAAAATTGAGTTTTGAACCTTAAGAACAATATAGAAATTCTAGAATTTGAGCAGTTCGCTTGAGCGATGGAAGTGTCGCTTGAGCATATATTTCAAGCTCCCAGTAGTTTGCAAACAATTGCACGGTGACTCGAGCGACCGATTGTGCGCTTGACTGAACATCTTTTTTCTCAGTACTTGGCTTGAACGACTGTTGAGCTACCGTCGAGTGTCAAAATTGAGCATCCAGTACTTTTGCAGACCACTCAAGCGAACTGCCTTGCTTTTAGAAATTTTAGAAGTGTTTTCAAAATACATAATTGCATCCTCATTCCATCTTAGGCACTTCTAAGTCATGGTTTAGGCCATATTAATGAGGATATAAATTATGAACACTAAGAAAAAAGTGCAATAAGTTAAGTGTTTTTGGAGTGTGTGTTTTAATATGTATTTGTCACGTGTTTGTGTGTAAGTCACGCGCCATTATCCGACCAATCTGTCTAAGTTATCTGTTTAGCTTCTGGAGCTATCTGTGAGTAACAACTCTGTAAAACTATGTTTGTCTATAAATATTTTCTGAATGAAATGATATGATAAACTTTGTTTCTTGAAATGATATTTTTTGTATAGATAAATGATTGTCCTATTTTTGAAATATATCATGGCATCCTTAGCATCATGTGATATGTTATATGTTATATGTTACCTGGTACCAAGGTGTCAAGTGGGTCAGTATTTTGCTCTACAGACCTAAGATTATGGGAACTTGTGTTCTACGTTCAAGCAATGGAGTTACTGCTCGAGCAATCTTCACTCTCACAACGTTCAAGCATAGGAATTAGTGCTCAAGCGGTCTAAGTCTGTTTGGGATTAGATACTTAAAAATTGGCTTTTGTCTCATTTCTTCCACTTTTATTTTCTCATCTCTTACTTCTCCCTTTTTTTGAAAACCCTAACCCTTCCACCTATATTTCACTTATTTTTACAAAGAATTCACCCTAGTTCTTGTATTAAAAGTGAAAAACACGTAGAGATTAACACTTTGACCATTTGGATCACGATTTCTTTGAAGTTTCTCCTCGAGTCTTCATCTTTTGCTTTATTTTCGAGGTATGAGTACTTCTAACTTGGTATATCTATGATTTGAGATGTATATGTGATAATTTATTAGTTATATTAATGTATGAGATGAATGACTTTGGTTTACATAAAGCAATTGAAGTTTAAATATGGATTTTCCCAAATCCTTTGAGGGGTTTTGAATGATTTATGAAGATAAAGGTTGTTGATGAGGATTAATTGGTTCATAAATGCAAGTGAGGAAAAAGCCCTAAAATTTTACTAAAACCGTTGTTTAAATTTTTGCTCTATAAAAGGATTTTTGTTTAATCGGACCTTGAATCATGAAATTGATTTATTGTTGGGAATGTGGAAATTGGAAACCTTTTATTATTGGCTATGTTAAATCTTTGTTAATGTAATAAATGAACCTTAGGTAAATTGAGATATTTGCAAATTCATACATCATATTGCATTGCATGATTTTGTTCCATGATTGATACAATTTCTTGGATGTTTGGAAATGTTGAAAGGGGGTAAATCGTGTATGACCAGGTAGTAGAGTTGGGTTTTGGAAATGTGTTATGTATTGTATTGGTACCCGCGCAGGGAGTCCAGGTACCCAATTGCCTTGTCTTGTGCTTATAGCTGAACGAATATGGGAAATGTTTTTGGGTGTCCACTGGCCCTACTATATCGAGTTGGAAAATGTGGGAAAAACAAGTGATTTTGGGTGTCCACTAGTCATGCCGTATTATAAGCCGACAAATGTGGACAAGATGTGTGTCTTAGGTGCCCACCGCCCTGCCGTATTGTGAGCCGACAAATGTGGGAGTATTTTCAGGATATTTAAAAATCTATATACGTTTGTTTCTAGCTTTTACTCTGGACTTCATTGCTTATTTACCGTCCCACTATCAATGTTGAGATTTTAGCATGACAACAATATAGCATACATCATTTTCTTTAAAAAATAGAAATAAGGATTTTATCATGGCATATGCATATGCATAGCATGATCATATCCATTTCAAACATTTATGTACTCTGTCAAATGTATTCCTACTGGGAAACTTTGCTCATTTCTATCATAATAAATTCTCAGGACTTGGTGATATGCTACCACCTAAGTGAAGGACGGTAGAGATTTTCGGATAGAGCACAGAGGCTCGTTTGATGTTATTTGTATTCATGCTACTGAGCTTTTGGTGTTTTGGGAATTGGATTTCGCTTTTGTGTAATCAAGACCCTTATCTTGAAATATGTAAGTCATTAGGGCAACTTACATTAAATTTTCTAACTCCTTGAACTATAAATGTTTGATCAATTGTAATTGAGGGAAAAGAAATGTAATATTTTGTATTACTTCAATGGAAAAAAGATATATTATGATCTTTTCAACAATTGTCACCTATCTATTATCTTTTATTTGGGTTTGTATAATAGACTTGGACGAGTAATTAAGAAACTTGAATGGTGATTTGACTACTAAATATTGGGGCGTTACAAGAATTATATGGATTCAGACACTGCCATGTGGCATAGCTATGGATTATCAAGTGTATGGCAGTTGTCAAATCCTTCTCAAACACTGCATTAGTGTTTTATGATGATTATGCAAAACTGAGCAAAAGATGAAATCTTATCGATATAGAAGTCCTAAACAACCGGAGATTATTTGGAATAGGACTTTTGAAGCACATAAACTACTTGTTGGGCAGGACACTAGCAAATAGACCACACCCCCATGGGTTGAGAGTACACTATTTTTCTCTATGAATTATGTCCATTAAATATTTTTATAATATTGGAGGATTAACTTGGGCGTTGAAAGACTCTCGGTCGTTCAACGGCTGTGGGAGTTTTATCTTGTAGATGGCGTTCTTGTAGAGGTGCTGATCATCTCCTTCATTAGATTTCTTCATTATCAAGTGATGGATTTTTTGTGACCGTACAATCTTCCTCTTTTGTCCAATTTGGATATCTTTTTTTTTTTTTTGGTTGCACTTTACCCTTTCTCTCTCTTTTTTTTTTTTGGTGTTGTAAATGGATGTATGACACGTACTGAAAGAGGTTCACGAGATTGTAATTTGTTCCGGAATAAATTGAGTAAATGGAATGTGACAATATTATCGATTTAAAAAATATTGAGAAAATGTTTCGGAATCAAATTGCAGTTGTAACGCCCCGAAATAATTAACATTAACCCAACTCATAATAGTGCTACAGTTGATCAACAATCTCATAATTTCTATTCATTATATCTTTGATCATTACAAAATGTGACATATGCAATATATATATTCACCAATCTTAGATTCTGAATCTATAGCATATGGCATGGATACAAGAGTAGTAAAAAGAGAAATAAAATAAAATTAATGACTACAACTTTTCAAGACGATACTTGGTTACAACAAAATGAGTTTAAACTCAATATAAGGAAAGTCCTAGGCTTAAACAAAATTAATTACATCAAGAACCAACGATGAAGCATATCACACTACAACAAAATTGAATTTTTATGGCTTGCAATATATGCCGTAAAAACTCTTTTACGGCATGCACACAAATGTCGTTATATGACATGCCATAGAAAGTTGAGCATCATTTACGGCATGCAGGTAAAGTTGTAAAAAGTAATAAATTAAACATTAATGACATACTTTGTGTGCCATATATAATTTTTTATGACATTTTTGTCATGCTATAAATCATCATACTTTTCATAGCATAATTTTGCATGCCGTAGAAGATTATTTTTAATATAATTATGGCATACTTTGTATACCGCATATAATATTTTACGACATTTTCTTGCATGTCATAAATCATCACACTTTTCACGACGTAATTTTGTATGTCGTAAAATGTCATTTTTAATATATTTATGACATACTTTGTATGCCGTATATAATCTTTTACGACATTTTCTTGCATGCTGTAAATCATTACACTTTTCATAACATAATTTTGTATGCCGTAGAATGTTATTTTTAATATGTAATATATATACAGGAATATAACATTGCCTAATAGTATATAGACAGTAGCTTATAAAATGCAACTTGTTAACAAACCAAGCAGAAGTAACAACTATGAAGTAAGCAAAAAAATCTAATATCCATGCACTAAACAATCTGCATACTAACTTTCATCCTCAACTTCTATCATATCAAGCTGATAACAACCTCAAACATACAAATCAAAAAAAGTATTCAAATCATAAGATTCACTAATCTCTAAAATACGACTTTAAACTTCCAAAAAGTATAACTACAAATCGTAAATCAATTAGTCTAATATTTAGTCCAAAAGAATGAATGACTAGGCCATGCAACTATACTTCCTATTGCATCTTGAAGATCATACATTTCATGAGTAGAACGAAACAACGGCACGTTGACTGTTACATGGTTCATCCATACTTTCCAACACAAAGGTCCAAAAGTCACATAATGCACCTTTGACTTGGGATCCCTTGATGCAATTTGGCCTTATGCAACCACCAAGTTTGTCCCCTACCAATGCAATAACTTGCATTTGACATTCTGTAAGCTCGACACACCAGTACTTTGATCCTACAAAAATTAAGAGTATATAAGCATGCTGCATAACATTCATCCCATTTACCAAGTATTAGTTCAACAAAGGAAATGAAAGTGTCAAAAAGCTTCAAGGAGAACTCACTTATATATGTCATCAATGTCAGAAAAGAAAATTTCAACCTGATGAAGAACTTTCACAATGTCAATGTTCATAGTTTTAGAAAATAAGAGTTTGAATTAAGAAAATCCCAAATATTCCCATGATAGACAGGGTGTGTTATGTTTATGTGTTCTTTGTATGGCGCAAAATGAAAACAAAAAAGTAAATAATAATAAATAAAAAAAATAGAAAATGAAAAGATGTTGCAACACGCCAGCTCTGTTGTCACTAGTACCCTCCTCACTTGGTCTTGGTTTCATTGTAAAATCCAAAAAATGAAACATCAATAATGTCACTGTCTTTACAATCCCTCCAAACAAGGCCTTATCAAAACAAAAGGCACAGAAACCTTATCTTGAAAACTAGAAATAGCTATGGTGACAAAATTAAAAACATATCTACATGGTAGCTTAAACCCATTTCAGCTGAGAAACAGGAAACAGAGCTTCGAAGCAGAGCAGCCATGGCAACCTTGAGCAGCCAGTTTCATATCACAAGCCATTCAACTTATCAAAATGTCAGATCAGAGCCGTCTATCTCTTGTCCATTGTCTCTCTCATTTATGTTTTCTCGCAAAATTATAGCACTCACTAATGCACGGGAACACTAAGATATACATATTATATATACTGGTTATTATTCACCAACAATATATATATATATATATGGATAGTTATAAATGGAGCAGCCAAGGAAAAACATAAAGGTTTCTCATTCTTTTCACCCTCATTTTATTTCCTTTCATGACATGAAGCTTTTGGTGCTTTTAATCATTTCTAATTTGTGCACTTTTTAAAAGGTGTGTGACATGGAAGAGTCTCTTGAAATACCCATAATGAATGATCTCACAATGGCCTTTCTACAGTAGACAAACATAGAGCTAAAATCTCTGAGGTTAAGAAGGCAGCACCTGGTCGGAAGTTGTGAAGCCCCTAATTGTGTCACCACCAATTATTGCAATTCTTTTGTCCCCAAGTGGTTGCAAAATGACTGCCTAGTACATTAAAATTTGTATCAACAGTCATGAAAAAGACTGAATTAGCATAAATTAGCTGTCATGAAATAAACAATTACAGCACAGTAGCTTGATGTGCTTAACTTTCATCTCCCGATTTATGCAACTGATGTCCTTGATAAGAAAATATAAACATTTTAGCAAAAAATAAAAAATTATTAGAAGCTCTCAAAACAAGATTATTTTTTAATGAGAGCATGGAATAGAACTTGTAAAAATCTACATCCAATAATGAAACAAGTATTTCAAAAGTGAGAAAAGCAAGTCAACTTCATAAAAAATGAAACATGATTATCTGTGTGTTTGAAGGCAAAAATGGCAGCTCTGACTTCCCAGGGTACAGAGATAGGTTGGCCAAGTAACTCTCTGAATAGTAGGAATTATGGATGGTCATCTTTTTGAAATTTAGTTTTCACTGGGCTTTTTTTTTTTTTTTAAATCGTAACATACCAAAGTAACGGGAAAATATGACAGAGAATACCTAGTTCATATCATGTTACTTACGTGACCCAGATTTTAACACACTTTGGTAGAGTGAACCTTGCATCAAGTTATTGGCATCCATAGGCACTGCTTCCCTGTAACTAGCAGGAGATGCAGCAGCAAATCTAATTTGAAAGATAAATTCGCCATCATAAACAATAACTAAAGACCTGCATATAGTCACGACTGAAAGAGATTCCCATGCCCTAAGAATAGGTAAAAGGATCATTAAAGAGCATTCGAGACAACTGAAACTTCCATCCGTTAAAAAGAAAATGTTGTGTTGTCCTTATCAGCCAATCTTATTTATTCATGAGATATCATTTCTCTTTTACCTGCACATCTATATGTTTATCTTCATAGCCTTACTAAAGAAAAATCCATCGTCGCATGCCATCACAGAAATTTAGGGCCATCAGCTCTAAGAGAAAGGTAATAAATTAAATTGCTATTGGGAAAAGAAAAGATGGTTGTGCTAGTATACCAAACATTAAAATTTCATAGTTTTCTATCCAATGACATAAAATTTCATCATAAATAGCTAGCATTATCATAGTTTTCAAATGTAGTGATGATTGAATTTGTAAACAAATTTCAGAAAATGAAATTTAAAATAGAGGATAAATACAGATGGAGAAATTTATGCTAAAACAAGAACTTCTAATATAACTTCACCTGTGTTCATTCATATGTACATATTCATTTTTTTTATTATGAAAATAAAGTGAGCATAATAAAAGCTGGATAGAGAATAAGACACTTAAGAATGGTTGCATGAGTTACAGAAGCTGTGTACCATAGTAACTCAGAAACTACAAAATCAGGAAGATGAGATTTTATCCTTTGACACTTCACGCCTTCAAGATTTACCTGAAATCAAAATTTATTTCACTTTCAAAATATTTCCTAAAATCAAATAGATGTAAATAAAATCAAGTGAAATTTATTGAATTTGGAAGAAAAAAAATGTTGCGCCCTCACCACTAATATAGTTTTTGTTCGGATTGACAGCCATACCAAACTAGTTAGAATATTTGTTACTATCAAACCAAGTGTCAGTAGATCCGCTCTAGACTGTGAACTGCTCGATGACAAGGTTTTAGATAATTGTAAGCACCAGGAAAAAAAAAAAAAGAAGAAAAGCAATTATGAGACTATCTAAAACTACTTAGGAAAACTATGACAGCCAGAAAGAATTAAACTTGCAGCAAGAAAATCAGCTACCTGGAGTATACAAATCAATTAGTATTCTAAAAATAAAATAAGCGTCATTATAACTCAGCTCAGCAAAATTATAATAATTGGGATATCTATTGCTCATTATTCTAAAAAAAGATAGTTGTAAAATCCAACCCACAAAAACAAATTGTTAGAACTTCGAATAAAATCCAACCCACAATATAAAACCAGCTAATGATCTAAATTCTGCATGACTGCATTAACAACTGTCTTCAGTTTTGTACAAATCTTCAATTAGCAAAAGTCTATGCATTAGAATTATGAACAGTTATTGGGCATCTCTCCTCAAAGTTGATACAAGACATAGTAAATTTTCCCATAGAGATTACTTATCAAAGATGAATAAATTCTCAGGAGAGATTCATGCTAAATCTTTTTTTATTTTATTTTTTTCAAGAACAACCTGAAGAAAACAACAAGAAAATATAGAAGAACCCTGAGCCAACACAACATTTGACAAATTATAGCTAATTTCAACATGATTTCTCCAGAAAACTTCACTGAAAATTAACACCACTCTGTTCGGTTTCTAAAAGTAAGAATGTCTAAGAGTCCATATGTAATCTATTTCCCTAGGACCTACATTTTCTGAGCAACCAAATAGGGAAAAAGAATCCACATCACACATCAAAATGAATACTACCTTCAATCACATTACTTCCATCGATTAACTCACTCCTCAAACTTTAACAATTCTAAAGAAACAAAAAGAAATTAACAATAATAATAATTAAACATATAAAATTTTCCGAGACACTAACTAGCGGATTTCGTCGAGACGCAAAAGAAAAATAAAGGAAATCGAAATGAATGAATTGGAATTTGGATCCAGAATGAATAAAGAAAAAAAGAAAGATTAGAGAAATTTATATTCAAATCCATATTCATATTCATATTCAAATTCAAATCAAATGAACACATGGATTCAAATTCAAATCTCTCACAACAAATTTATAGTTAAATATGAACTTCAAGATTAGAGAGAGAATTTACCGCTTGAAATAGCAAGGGGCAAACCCTAGGAGGAGATTCAAGATTGTAAACCCTAGGAGAAGAAGAATCGACGGAATGAAAAGCTTGAGAGAGAGAGAGAGACAGACAGACAGAGAATACGAAACTGAGATTGAATCGAGATCTATGCAGATGGCTCACCATAGTAGACGATGCAAATGGCGGTGGCGGTGGAGCTTCGAAATCGAGAGAGAGAACTTCGAAATCGAAATCACTAAGCCGAATCACTGAGCTACGTATTGATTTATGAGAAGGGGACAATGTATTGATTTATGAAAAGGAAGCTGCTCTACGAAATCGAATTCACCGAGCTGAAGTGAAGAGAGTGAGCGAGAGATTTGAGGGAGCCCAGCAGAGATTGTAACACATTTGGAGGCATTTATAAATGCCTTATATTGGCTAAACGGTACCGTTTTAATTAATACAAAATGCGACACTTATAAAACGTCATTAAATATTATAAAAAGTGACATTTAAAAAAAACGCCATTAAATAAACGCCATTAAAACAAGCATTTCCTGTAGTGATATGTAATTTTTTTTTCCAAAATCCCACTGGGTGCAATTATTCCTTAAAAGAAGACACTAAATTATAAAATAATGTATAAATTATTTTTTACGTTGTCCGTAATTAGGAAAATTTAAGGTGAGAAACTTGGTTGGAAATTGTTAGCCTTTTTAAATCAAAAAAAAAAAAAATTAAGATTGAATTTTTTTTAATAAAAGTTTTCATGACATGTTAATGCATTGACGTGTAAAGTTATAATATTTTTACGACATGAAATGTATGTTGTCTTAAGTGCAAATATTTTATGACATATTTTTGTATGCCGTTAAAATATGTATTTTTTACGACATGCTTTTGCATGCCATAAAAAAAATTCGGATTGAATTTTCTTTTTTTTAGAAGTTTTCACGACATGTTAAAGCATGCCGTGTAAAGTTATAATATTTTACAACATTAAATGTATGTCGTTTTAAGCGTAAATATTTTACGACATATTTTTTAAGTCGTAAAAATATACATTTTTTACGGCATACTTTTATATGCCATAAATAGATGAATTAACGACTTACATGGTATGCATGTCGTTATTGAAAAACCATTAACGGCTTGCAAAAAAAAAAATGTCATAGAATGTACTAATTACGACATGCATTTGATGTATGTCGTAAAGTCAAAGCCATAAATAGTTAATTTTGTTGTAGTGTCATCAGCACCTGAAAGTTGTTTTCCACATAGGGTGAGCCAAAGCCCAGTAAAGGTACTCTCACACAGCATATGAATCTTAGCAAAATTATAAGGTGAATGCATATGAATGCCATTTGTCAAATATTTCTCATTTTCCATCTCAAAACAATGTAATGCCATGCAATTCATGAAAATCATCATTTTATGTATCTCTAGGTACGTGTCTGCCGGTAGGCTATACAAGCACTACAAAAGCCATTTTAACGGTACTAACCGGAAGGATCGGCACCTAACTGCGCGGGTTTCTAGACTTTCACCAGGGATACACAGGCCAACATAATAAAACCACAACCACACCCCCTAACCAGATTCACCACGATATTCTTCTATTTTTCTCAAAAACCAATACATTTACATTGTTCAATATGAAATGATGCTTGATGCATAATGTATGAGAAATTAATTTCAATTCAACTTAATCCTTATGAAACGTCTACAACAATCAAGATTATCCTCTACTAATAGCCCAAAACATATATTTCTATTCAATAGATAATTTCCAATCAAAAGATATAATTTCAATATTTTACAATGGGAGTGATATTCCATATCCAACTCCACCATCATCATTAACATAACTATCATTCCAATTTCACAACACCCAACATCATTTTTCATTTCCTTTCACAAATCCAAATATCCAAAATTTAGGGCAAAACCCCATTTTCTTACAAAGTTGATTTTAAGAAAAGATATCTGCCATTTTAACCTATCTCAACCATAACTATATCCCCACAACCATTTTCAAGAGCTTATTTGGAAAACCCCTCTTTTGACTTCAACTTAAACCCTAGGTTTTCCAAAAAATCTCCATATCAATAATATAGCGATCCCGGTTTTACCCCGACCTTTATTGTGTTCTGGACTCGGGTTCCGTGATTGTATATTGTTGTCTTTGTCTTGTTTCCTCCCTTTAATTCTTTGAATTTAAGTTTTGGGACTTGTTGGGCGAATTTGGAACAGGTTAGTTACCTTTGGGTACAAATGGTTGTTGCCCAGATTTTGGCTTCTTCGCTCGAGCGAGGCTTCTTGCGCTCGAGTGAGTATTGTGTAATCTGTTCTTCGCTCGAGCGAGCCTTGTGAAAATGTTTATTCGATCAAGCGAGACTTCCTTCGCTCGAGCGTGCGTCTGCGTAGGGTGGCAGACCTTAAGCTTTACATTCTACGCTCGAGCGACGCTTCTTGCGCACGAGCAAAGCGACCTTTTTGTGTCTGGTCGCTCGAGCGAGCTTGGTGTATATCAGTTCACAGCAGCGCCGTTTTGGCTTCATTTTTTATTTCCTTTTCACCCACAAACCCTAAATCTACAGTCTCTCTACCTAGAAGTCACATTCTCTCTAAGATTTCATCTACATTCATTGAGTTTTTGACCCTAGTGTCTTTGAGAATAAGGTAGAGGGCTTCAAGAGCTTCGTGTTGATCCAAGTAAGAGTTGATTTCATCATCTTTGAAGTTTCGATCTTGCTTGTTCGTCTTCTACACTTAAGGTAGGGAATTTCTACACTCTAATATGGTTTTTAGCCTAGTTATTTGCTATTGTGTGTAGATGTTGAGATTTGGTTGTGGTTTGCACAAATCTAGGATTTGGGTGTGAAATGAAAAGAAGGGTTTTGATGAAATTGGCATAAGTGGGTTTGAGGTTTGGATACAAGGTTGTGTTGTGCCAAAATAGTTGATTTTGGGTGTTTGGGTTGATATTTGGAAAGAGGGAGATTTTGCCTTAATTTTGATTAAATTATTATTTTGAATAAATAATTTGAATTAACATTAAAAATGTGAAATTGAAAGGTTATGATTAAAATTGGTGATATTGGATATATATTATCTCACCAATGTAAGTTTTGAATAAAATATTTATTTTGAGATTGAACATCTCTTTAGAAATAATTGTATTGGGCTATTGGTGGGGGATAGCTATGATTGTTGTATAAATTGTATGAAGATTAGGCGATTTAATGCTAATTCATTGTTGGTGTCATTGAATATGACTATGTTATAAATACATTGTATATGTATGTTTATTGGGAGGAGAAAAGGGATACACTCCATATATGATTATGTTTACAAATACATTGCATCTGTATGTTTATTTGGGAGGAGAAAGGGGATGAACTCCATTTAAATTAAGTTGGCTAGAGTGTCTTGGGTGAAAGACCCGAAATTTTATATATAAATGGGTGCCGATTCCTTCAGATGAAATATCCGTAAAATGGCAAGTTTGAAGTGCTTATGTGTGTTTTGCATAGTTGGAAAACCATTGAGTTGCAGTCTTATTTTGGTTGTTGAAAGATAATGAATTTAACTTATGAATTGAGTAGCATATAGGAATTGGAAATAAATTGAAGGAAAATGAAATGAGGTTAGGTCCTAGTGGCATATGAATATGTAGGCCTTGTGGATGTTTTAGTAATCGGTATTGTTTATGCACGTAGTATTTATACCTTTGCTAAATCTCATATATTGTGTTAGATTATCTTTGCTGGGCTGTTGGCTCACCCTATACGGGAATATCATTTTCAGGTGTAGGTGAAATGTTTCCTCCAAGGTAATAGTGTGTATGAACTTTTGGGAAGCAAGAGCTTCTTAATTATGCCTTATGTGTGTATGTTTGTTATTTGTAAAGCCTAGGGCTTAAGTTGTAATGAGCGACACTCAATTCGTGTAACCAAGCAATGACTTGAAAAGATGTAAGCCTACATGACATTTAACTGGTTATTAAACAGTAAACTCTGATATATGAAAGTATGTTGTTTCTCATATTTATTCAGCATATGAGTTATCTTTATTGTATTATTTTGGGGGCATTACAAATAATCCTTTTTAAAAGAGTAAATAACTAAGCTAAAAATCATATAATGAGTCAAAGAAATCCCTACCTCAAAGTAGAAGACACAAAGAAATAATAGGTAGAACTTTACGGAGTCAAAAACACTAAATACTTGGATTAAAATGAAGCCCTCGACGTGCCCAACATTTTTCTCCAAAGGACCAGGGTAAGAAAACCCATGGATTGAGAGTATTTGGGGCTAGAAATGAGAACTAGAGAGAGAAGGCAACAATTTTAGGGTTTGGAAATGTTTAGAGAGAGAGAGAGATGAAAAATTGATCCAAAAAGTCTTCTTCTTGAAATAATATATGCACAGACCACTCGAGCGACCAAAACACCACTCGAGCGAACAGACACGATAAATGACACCGCTCGAGCGCACAATGACCCCCTCCTAGTAGTTTCATAGATGACAAAAGATCGCTCGAGCGCAGATATCACACTTTCAGTAGTTTTACAAACTGTAAAAGACCGCTCGAGCGCAAGAAGCATCGCTCGAGCGAACATGCAAAAATCTGGGCAACAACTTTTTGAAAAACTAACTTCTCAACCTGTTTCAAACACAACCAAAACTCCCAATAGCGAAACTCAACAAGTATTACGATGAAAAAGAGATGAACAATAGTTAAGTAGAGGGATTCTCGGATCCAAAATCAACAAATGGGTCAAGTCTAAACTAGAATCGTTATAGCAGTGGTTGTTGAGAGTTTTGTTGTTTATTGAATTGATTGTTGAAAAATGGAGGTCGATGATCCATTTTTTGAAAGTTTTGGCTAATATACAGTTGAATTCTTTTTTTTAATGAAAGGGTTAAGAATAACAAATGGTCAAGAATAAATATATGGTTTGCATTTTATGGAAGAACACAAATTGTTATTACTTACAAAAAATATGCACAACGGTTGAAAAATTGAATCACCAAATGTAGAGTTGCAACAGTAACATGTGATATTATTTCTGGGTTGCTTTTTGAAAAATGAATATTATATTCTTTTGGGTCCCACAATGGCTGGCTATGTGGTTGGCTACAGATAACACAAATGGTAACAACTAACAACTTTAATAG